CTAACCCTGAATTGTACCCCACATCTTTATAATATAAATAAATAAATAAATAAAATACTTCTCTCTCTCTCTCTCTCTCTCTCTCTCTCTCTCTCTCTCTCTCTTAACTTTTTTTTTTTTTTTTTGGTGAGTCGGTTCTCACTCCGTCACCCAGGCTGAAGTGCTATGGCACGAACACAGCTCACTGCAGCCTCACTCAACCTCCTAGGCTCAAGCAATTCTTCCAAGCTGGGCACGGTGGATCATGCTTGTAATCCCAGCACTTTGGGAGGCTGAGGCGAGGGGATTGCCTGAGTTCAGGGGTTCTAGACCAGCCTGAGCAACATGGCGACACCTTGTCTCTACAATAAATCAAAAAATTAGCTGATCATGATGGTGTTTACCTGTGGTTTCAGCTACTTGGAAGGCAGAGGCGGAAGGATCACCTGAGCCTAGCAGGTCCAGGCTGCGGTGGCCATGAGCTTGCCACTGCACTCCACTCTGAGCAACAGAGTGAGACTCTGACTCAAAAAAAAAGTTCTTCCACCATAGATTCCTGAGTAGCTGGGAGTACAGGTATGCACTGCCACACCTGGCTTACTTTTTTATTTTTATTTTTGTAAAGATGAAGTCTTGCTATGTTGCCTAGGCTAGTCCCAAAGTGCCGAGATTACAGGCATGAGCCACTGTGCCCAGTCTAAAATGCTTCTCTTATAAACAGTTTGCTTTTTTTATCTAAGTTGATAATCTGTGCCTTTTAATGTAATTTATTAATTAATTTAATGTAATTTACTTTATTGATATAATATGATTATTGATATGGTGGGGTTTAAATATGCTATCTTGGTATTTGCTTTTTATTTGTCACATCTGTTTTTAGTCCCTCTGTTCTTCCTTTCCTGCCTTCTCTTGGATGAACAGAATATTTTAATCTATACCTCTTTGTGTTATTTCTAATAAAAACACTTATCCACACAGTTTTCTTATGCAAGCAATATCTTAAACTTGTATTCAAATTACAGTACTCCAAAAGAGAGTTAAGAGAGGATACAGCTTTCTCTACCAGAATTCTATTTGGAGCTGGCCTTGCCTTTCTCTTCTTTCCCCATCACAAAATGGAGCCATGACTTGGTAAACCTGAAGCTAATTTAGTAGTCATCATGTAAGGCGCATGTTAATGGTTGTTATATTTAATGTAACTGGATAGCTGCCTGAATACTGTTATAGTCTTCTGTTACTTCCTTCTTTCTCACTGCAAGGATTTTAGGAGCCACCTTTGAAAACATGAAGTAATTTTCTTTCAATTAAATTATGTTAGACAAGTATAATTTTTATGTAATCAGTCAAACAATTAATTCATGAGCAGCTGGGTGCTGCCTCTGGAAGCTTGCAATTTAATTGAGGAGGCATTTATATAATTTTATTATGTATTTATCTATGTTATATATTCTATTGTAAAGGTTTATTATATATTTATATAATAAAAATAAATAGCAATGCAAGGCTGTGTGTGCCTGTTACAGATAAATAAATGAAATATAGATGTTTGTGTGGTTCATTAGAGAAACAGCTGCCTCTGCAGGGAAATTACCACATGTTTAGGCTCTAGCCACACAATGCTCTCTCCACAGGCTGGCAGCTTACAAGGTACACACACTTCTGACATTTTCCTGAATCGCCTAATAGCCAGTCTGATTATGTCTTTTTTGTCTCTGACTGTCTACAGAGGTTCTTCATCATTTATAGTGAGAAAAATTCTTGCCTTTTTTCCCTCTTTCTTTCTCTTCTATAAATAGATAGGTATAGATAAGTATCACGTGGTTATTTGAAGGATTGAAATTTCATTTTGATTTGCCTTTCCTGGGTAGGAAACGTTTACATCATTTTACACTTTTGAGCATGAATTGCCTCTCTTTCTAGGTATAATCAGTTTCTACTCTTCAGCATACAGAAGATTTTTGAATACTATTCAATGCAAAAAGAGCTCTAAAAATAATTTTTCAGGTAGGGTTTCGATAGTCTTATGTGGAACACTGGCAGATGAAAAGAACAAAGGCACATCAGGGTAAAGGTAGTGGGAGGCAGAGCATTTCATTTCATTTGCCTCCACCAAAGAGCTTGCATTTAGTGGAAAAGGGAAAACAAACAAGAAACAGGAGCATCTGTACTAACTGTTGAAGGTTTCATTTCTCATCACTGTTAGTCACATTTGAATGAAATCTTTACTGTCTTTTTGTTGTGTATAAGTAAGCCCCTTTTTTTTCCGAAAAGATCTTGAATTTTATGTTTAAAAGCACAGTGAGCTGTTTTTGACATTCTGTGTTTCATTTTGAAACTCATAGTCTTAAAACCTATTCGTTTTCAGTAAGGTGGTAAAGGGTATACAGTAAGTGGCATTTTTATGCCCTAATAGCACCTCTAGTAGTCTCTGATGCATGTTATAAACACCACACACACCTTTTAGTTTCTACCTGGCAGCTTACAGCATTAGGCTGAATGTTAGGATGAACAACTGAAGTGTCAAGCAGTATTACAGTGGATTCTTATTGGAAAAAGTAAGCGCTTTAAACCTTCTTTTAAATACTTTTTAATTGAGATTTTTAAAGTGACATATTTACCAGTTCACAATTAAGGTGACATACTCTTTAAATGTTTAAGTTATTCTTCCAGAAATGGGGATGAATTGGGGCTAATCATCTGGTGATTCTCCTCTTGAGCTAGGTAGGATTTAAGCATGCATTTTGTATGGGAAAGTCTATTTTGCACCTATATTACTATTCTTAAAAATATGTGTATGTAAGATTGTTAGAATTTAAAACTGCTAAGATTCTGGCTAGGCATGGTGGCTAGCACCTGTAATCTCAGCACTTTGGGAGGCCAAGACTGGAGGATTGCTTGAGCCCAGGAGTTTGAGAACAGCCTAGGCAACATAGCGAGACCTCATCTCTACAAAGATCAAAATATTAGCCAGGAGTGGTGGCATGAGCCTGTAGTCCTAGCTACTCAGGAGACTGAGGCAGGAAGATTGCCTGAGCCCAGGAGGTTGAGGCTACAGTGAGCCATTATTATGCCGCTGCACTCCAGCATGGGCAACAGAGACCTCCCCAACCAAAAAAATAAAGAAAAGAAAAGAACTGCTGAGATTCTGTCTTAATATAATATTTATTTATTTGACTGATTTTCATATTATTCAATTCAGCATGGAGAATGAGATTTAAAGGTTTGTTTTCTTTTTTATTTTTTTGAGTTGGAGTCTCACTCTACCATCCAGACTGGAGTGCAGTGGCACACTCACAGCCTGCTGGGCTCCAGCGATCCTCTGCCTCAGCCTTCCAAGTAGCCAGAACTATAGGCACGTGCTACCACGCCTGACTAATTTTTGATTTATTGTAGAGACAAGGTCTCGCCAAGTTGTCCAGGCTGGTCTCAAACCCACGGGTGCAGGCAGTCTACTTACCTCGACCTCCCAAAGTGCTGGGATTACAGGCTGAGCCACTGAGCCCAGCCAAGTTTGTTTTCTTATTCTTCTACTATACTTGGGTTTTCGGTCTAGTGGTTGTAAAATATTCCCCAGAAATATGTTTGCCCAGAATTCCCAAAATAAAATGATAAAATCACTTTTGAAAAAGCTGTCTTTAATATACAAAATCTAGATTCTGGGCTTATATGCTTTGACCATGTGCTAAAAATTAAATAAGTAAAAACCCAAGAAGGCAAAATTGGTCAAGGCTGTGGTTTATGCAGAACGCCAGCCAGTGTCACCCACCCTAAATATTCCTTTCCTCTCTTTTGGCCAGAAAATACTTCAGGAGAGAAGCTGTCATGCCCATCTTTTATTTTAAAATGTTTACTCTTCATATCATTTCTCAGGTTGTTAACCTTTGGAATCAGATTTTGCCTATCTGATAAACAATACACTGTTTAATTCATTTTGACTAATTAATCACTTGTAACTTTTCAGGTGTTGCATAGGATGAATATGAGTTGGAGAAATTCCATTTCCTGTTTAAGGCTAGGAAAGGTGTCACACAGATACCAAAGTGGTTACCACCCAGCGGCCCCTCTGGGATCGAGGATTTTAACTGACCCAGCCAAAGTTTTTGAACACAACATGTGGTGAGTTTTCTTTTTAGTTCTGATATTTTGTGTGTTTATTAATATCACCAGTGGTATTATTTTCATGTCATACCAAGAAAGGATTTTTAAAACTGATGACCTAACTCGTGCTGTAGAGGTCCAAAAGTCAGGATAACAGATCCTGACTTCACTGTTGCCAATTCTAAATTTCTTTGCAAATGGAATTGGAAAAGTGAAACTTCCCACATGCTTTTAGCAGCTTTGGGGTTCTAGCAGGTCCTTCCTGATTGCCTCTGATCCCGATTTGCCAGTATATCACTGGGAGGAGGGGTCAACTCTTTCCTAGGTGGGGCCCACTCCTGCTCCACAGACCCTTTCTTCTTTTACACATACTTACCAATCAGCAAATTTGTATCAGTGCCTGCTGCTTACTGAGCACCAGGGAGGAGAGCATGTTGGTATGAACCTAGTCCACTCTTTCAAGAAATCCACACTATTTGGAAAGACAGATATTTATAGGAAAAGTTGATAATTAGCCATGCAAAGTTACAAATTGGGAGGGTCCAATTAGTAACATGGAACCACTTCTGTTTGGGCATAATCAGAAAGATTTCTTAATAAAGCAGGGGAAACTAAGATTAGGATTACAGGCATACCTAGGAAATGTTGTGGGCTTAGTTCAAGACCACCACAATAAAGTGAATATTACAATAAAGCAAGTCACACAGACTTTTTGGTTTCCCTATGCATATAAAAGTTATGTTTACAATATACTTAGTCTATTAAGTGTGCGATAAAATATTGCTAAAAAAATGCTAATGATCATCTGAGCCTTTAGCGAGCCGTAATCTTTTTGCTGGTGGAGGGTCTTGCCTCAATATCAGTAGCAGCTGACTGATCAGGGTGGTGGTTGCTGAAGGCTGGAGTGGTTGTGGCAATTTCTTAAAATAAGACGACAATGAAGTTTGTCACATCAGTTGTTCCTTTCATGAAAGATTTCTCTGTAGCATATGATGTTGTTTGATAGCATTTTACCCATGGAACTTCTTTCAAAATTGGGAGTCAGTTCTCTTAAATCCTGTGGCTGCTTTACCAATTAATTTGTGAAATATTCTGAATCCTTTGTTGTCATTTCAATAATGTTCACAGCATTTTCACCAGGAGTAGATTCTGTCACAAGAAACCACTTTCTTTGCACATCCACAAGAAGCAACTCCTCATTCTGTCAAGTTTTATTATGATGTTGCAGCAATTCAGTCAGGATCCACTTGTAATTCTAGTTCTCTTGCTATTTCCACCACATCTGCAGTTACTTTTCTATTGAAGTCTTGAACCTCTCAAAGTCATTCATAATGGTTGGAATCTACTTCTCCCAAACTCCTGTTGATGTTGATATTTTGACCTCCTTGCATGAATTACAAATGTTCTTCGTGTCATCTAGAATGATGAAAACTTCCCAGAAGTTGTTGGATGACTTTGCCCAGATCTATCAGAGGCATCACTATCTATGACAAAATGTAATTCTTAAATAAGACTTGAAAGTTGAAATTATTTCTTGCAGAATGGACATTGTTAGCAGGCATGAAAACAACATTAATTTTCCTGCACATGTCCATCAGAACTCTTAGACGATGAGGTGTGTGATTACATTAATCAGTAATATTTTAAAAGGAATTCTTTTTTCTGAGTAGTAGGCTTCAACAGTGGGTCTAAAAATAGTAAACTGTGCTGTAAACAGACATGCCTTCACCCAGGCTTTGTTGTTGTATTTCTAGAGCACAGGCAGAGTAGATTTAGTATAATTCTTAAGGGTGCTAGGATTTTTGAAATGATAAAATGAGCATTGGCATCAATTTAGAGTAACTAGCTGCGTTCGCTCCTAACAGAGTCTGTCTGTCCCTGTCAAAGCCAGACATTGACTTCTCTTCTCCCACTATGAAAGTCCTAGATGGCATCTCCTTCCAGTATAAGACTTTTTTGCCTACATTGAAAATTGTTGTTTACTGTAGCCACCTTCATCAATGATCTTAGCTCGATCTTCTAGACAACTTGCTGCAACTTCTACGTCAGCACTTGCTGCTTCACCTTGCACTTTTATGTTATGAAGATGGCTTCTTTCCTTAAACTTCACAAATCAACCTCTGCTAGCTTAACACTTTTCTTCTGCAGCTTCCTCACCTCTCTTAGCCTTCACAGAATTGAAAAAGAGTTCATGTCTTGCTCTGGATTAGACTTTGGCTTAAGGGAATTTTGTGGCTGGTTTGATATTTTATCCAGACCATTAAAATTTTCTCTATATTAACAATAAGTCTGTTTCACTTTCTTATCATTTATTTATTCAGTGAAGTAGCACTTTTAATTTCTTTCAAGAACTGTCCTTTATGTTCCCAACTTGTGACTGTTTGGCTCACAAGGCCTAGCTTTCAGCCTGTCTCAGCTTCCTACATGTCTTCCTTACTAAGCTTAATTTTTTCTAGCTTTTGATTTAAAGTGAGGAATTTGTGACTCTTCCTTTTCCTTGAACAGTTAGAGGTCATTGTAGGGTTATCAACTGGCCTAGTTTCAATATTGTTGTGTCTCAGGAATGGGGAGGGGAGGCCTGAAGAGAGGGAGACAGGAAACAGCTGGTCAGTGGAATCAGACCACGCATAAATTTGTTGATTATGTTCACCTTTTTATATAGATGTGGTTCTTGGTGCCCCAGAACAATTACCATAATAACAGCATTTAAGCTCACTGATCACAGATTACCATGACAGATATACTATAATGACAATGAAACAGTTAAAAATATTACAAAATGTGACACAGAGACACAAAATGAGTACATACATTGGAAAAATGGCACCAATAGACTTGCTTAAGGCAAGGTGGCCATGAACCTTCGATTTATAAAAATTGCAATAGCTGCAAAGTACAGTAAAATGAAGCATAAAAAAGCAAATTATGTCTGTATTTATACTGCCTACAGTACATAGCACAATGTGTGACACATAAATATTTGTTGAATAATGATTTGAATAGGTAAACTGGCAGCAGGTAATTAAATCTCCAGAGGAACTTTTGATCTTAGGCAGGCTTCTTGTTTACCAATTTTTTTTTCTTGGTTAGACCCTAGTGATTTAGCTATCTGCGTTCCCCTTTTCCATCTGCTACCAACTGCTCTCATGCTCTAGATTCTTGCCTACTAATTTAAGTTCTGTTTTGTCATGGACACTCAGGAAAGTAAGGGTCTTCTGGTCCCTCACTTCTCAAACACGTGACCTAGCTTTGAAATGGCTCCTCAAGAATCCCTTGGGAGGTTACTGTTTTAGTAAGTCTCGAGGTATAGCCCAGGAATTTCTACTTTGAAAAAAAGCTCTTTTAGTAGTTCTGTTGACAAGCCAAGTTTGACTGTTCATCTAGCCCCCTGGTTTTCAAACTTTTCTTTAGTAGCAGAATTTTTTACAAATGAAGTTTTTATGTGGAATTCCAGAATTTAAAAGATAAAAGCAAACCTGCCCTGAATGAAGCAGGCAAAGAGGCCTAAAGCACCCACAGCTCCACCTCCTTTTCCTTTCCCACTTCTCCTCACTTACTGTAGCAGCCTAGAGGACCTTTAGGATGCTGCTGATCACAGTTTGAAAAACCTTGTCTAGTCTAGACAGCATCCTCCTCTGTACCATACCCTCAAGGGGTTAGCCAGCCTGCCCTGGGAAACTAGTGAACACTCTACCAATGCTGATGCATACTGTAATAAAAGCAGTAAGGATGGTTTCCTCCAAGGGAAGAGGAGGGTAGTTGAGAAACATCATCTTCCCAGCGTCGACTCTGGCAGTCCTTCCACCTCAACCTTCCAAGTAGCCAGAACTACAGGCATGTACTACCATGCCTGGCTAATTTTTAATTTTTATTGTAGAGACTAGGTCTTGCCAAGTTGCCCGGGCTGGTCTCAAATCCGTGGGCTCAGGCAATCCACTCGCCTCAGCCTCCCAAAGTGCTGGGATTACAAACTGAGCCACCAAGCCCAGTCTTTTTTCCTTCTTAAAGAGAAGATTTGTAAGTTAAACTAAAGCTGGATTGTCCTTTAAGTCCAAAGTTCTGTGCAGAAATTCTCATTTTTCTTCCTTATTTTCTCTTTTATATTTAAGAATAGCATTTCCTCTCTTTCTGAATTTGATTTTTTTAAAGATGTTTTTAGAAAAGTACATGCCAATTTTCTCTCAGAGATGTTGCTCAAAATTATCTACAGTTCATTTTTTTCTTTAGCCGCTAGTTGGCAAGTTAGTAAGTTATTCTCTATATGACTCTTAAAATTTTTTTTTTGAGAAAAAATATAAAGATACCCTTTTAAATTCATTTTCTAATATCCTGAGAAAGATTTGCCTTCCTGATTCTGGATATTTATATTACTAGTACTTATATCTGCTTATTGTCTTTTATTTTTTAGTAATTTAGTGAAGTAAAATTTTGTATAACAAAAAATTAACCATTTAAAGTGAATAATTCAGTGGCATTAATTACATTCACAATTTTGTGCAACCATCACCTCTATCTAGTTTCAAAACATTTCATTACTCCAAAGTAAAACCTCTTATCCATGAAGCAGTTTATCCCAGCCCTCACTCCCCTGGCTGCTATGTGATCTGTTTCTGTGGATTTATCTATTCTGGACATTTCGTAGAAATGGAATCATACAATATGTGGCCTTTTGTGCTTGGCTTCTTTCACTTAGCAAAATGCCTTGACTTCATCCACCTTGCAGCATGTATTGGTACTTTATTCCTTTTTATGGCTGAATAATATTCCATTATTTGTATATGCCACAATTGGTTTATTCATTCGTCTACTGATGGAAATTTGGACTGTTTCTACCTTTTAGCTCTTGTGAAGAGTGCTGCTATGAACATGTGAATAAGTATTCTTGTTTGAGTCCCTGTTTTCAATTCTTCAGAATATATAACTAGAAGTGGAATTGAAGGGTCATATGGTAATTCTGTGTTTAAGTTTTGAGAAATGGTCACACAATTATCCATAGCTGCTGAACCATTTTATGTTCT